TGAGTGGGATTCTCATTAATGAATCGATATTTCATGTTTTTTGTCAATTTTTTAATTTTGATGATTTTCATTCGGGAGTAAGTATTTCATTAAATCCACCTCGTGTTTCTTGTAATATTTATATACACGTAGTAGTTACATCGAAAACTGTAGTTCAGCAATGAAAGTTCAACAAATTAATCAATCGTTATTACATTATTTGATCATACGATTGGGTAAATATGTATATGTACAAATTTTGAATTGAACAGCCATTTATTCATATTAGTGGTTATTCTTATTATCGCGTTTAGGGTCAGTTACGTTTATGAGAGTGTTTGATTTAATATATTATATTTATGTCGATTTCAGCGGAGGCAATATAAATCGTGTATAGTAAACGAAGATTTATCGTTCATTACAATATTATTGTTCGTGTTCATCGTTTAAATAAGAAAAGAAATGATTCAAATCAACATTGTACACGTGATGTACACATATGTACATTGTTGTACGCCATATTCGTTCGTGCAAATAAGGCATAAGATAAGATTTTTGTTTGAATAAAAATTTGTTTTACCATTGCTAGATTCTAATTTTAGTCAATTGTTACGGTTTGTGACAAACATTCACAAATAGAAAGTAATCATAAAAAAAAATTAATAATTTTTTCTCTTTATTTTTTCATTTTTCTTTCTGCTGTATAAAACATGAGGTTTAATTTAATGCCTTCTGTATGCATTAGTTTATAAACTTTATAGTTATTATTTGAATACTTTTGTAACTCTTAAAAAAATACGTCTTGTGTTCAATAATTACTATATTCTCGCGCTAGAAAATTCGTATTGTGAAATATGAAAGTACATTTAAATACTATTAAGAAGTATTAAGAAGAAATGGTAAGGTAAATAATGAGTTACAATATACAAGTATATTAGCTGTGCTGTGAAAAATTAAAAACTTATTAATAATAAAAAGTAACATACACATTAACTTTAATAAATAACACTCAAATTTTACATTTATTTGACTATTAAAAGAAACGGTCATTTTTCTGCAATCTCTAATTATAAGCCATAATTATTCAAAGTATCCACTTTTTCGGACACTGCTTAAAGTAATTACAACACGATCTATTTTTAATAAGTTTCAGAAAATTAAATTTGCTGATGACCAACAAAATAATAAATATTATATTACATTGTATTTTTTTCATTCTTAAAATTCAATGTAAAATTCATTCAATTCATTTTTCTTTTTAATTATTTAAGTGATTTCATACGGAATTCTTCTTTTCATCTTTGTTCTCTATTAGTAAAGAATTTTAGCTCTTAATTTCTTAGTGCTTTTTTTCTGTTGTAGACTTTCGGTGATAAACTGTTAGGCGTGATGTCTTGGATAATACCATTTTTCGTGGCCTGTTCGACCTTCGGGGCATTGAACGGAGCAATTTTCGCGTCATCGCGATTATTTTTTGTAGGAGCCCGTAATGGACATCTGCCTGCTGCCATTGCTCTCATCAATGTACGAAATTTGACGCCCATGCCATCGCTTATTTTTCTCGTAAGCTTATTTCCTGCTTTTATGCCAATTTCATTATAATTATACAGATATCTTATTTGCTCGGTTACATTTTCCTCGACAAAAATACCAGTGAGTCATAGAGAAATAATTGTACGTGATAGTTGTTTGGATCACACTGTATAGTTTTATCAGTTTTCCCTATGATTCTCATTTTTATGGCAGTTGAAGAAGGTGTGCGAAAAAAGCACATCTCTGTTGCTTACTGATTATTTGAAAAAAAGGAAAGTTATTTGACCAAAACCTTTAATAATAAAGAATACAAATAGAGAGAACTTAATAAAACACTTAATAAAAAAGAGAATATTTGAAATTGAACTCCGAACAGTCTTTTAGCAGTCCAGTGATAATATGTAAAAAACAAATTTTCTGCCCATTTTTTAAAATATTTTTCTTCTTTTCGAATGTAAATTTGAAATTATTCCAGCTTTCTTAGAGGTACAATTCTGGATGAAAAGTTTTTGTTGATTATTTTTTCTAATAAATTCTTAATTGTTCACTTCAATTTGTTAAATTTTTATATTTTTGATAATTTTCATTTGGAGTGAAACGAGGATTAATAGGAATCATTTGTAAGACTTAATCTATTTGTGAAACTTAGTTAGAAGTGTAAGTGAAGATAAAAGATAAAGTTGTTATTTATTGACATATATATGGATTAAACTAATACATGACAAGTTAATACTGATATAATCTCTGACATTTCAAGTGTTAGATTATATTAATTACAATTTATTTGTCAAAATAATTGCCGGTAGAAAATTGATCTGGTGTTTACAGTGGTGAATGAAAGATTACCCCAATGTCGAATGATGTCGTTAATCTAAATCTGATTCTAAAAATACCTTACATTTGTACAATTGTTTGCCTGTTTGTTTAGCTACGAAAATTATCACAGAAAGGGGATAAACATCAAAATTAGTTTAGTTTTAAAAGAATTGAAACTTGTGAAAGTTAATAAATACAATTGAATAATAATTGCTGAACCTATTTCAAATGAATAAATAAACCACGTTGTTTAACATGCTCTTTTTCGTCCTTTCTTTTATTTTGTTACTCTATAACTATCATATTCTCGTTTTACTTTAATTTTATCTTATTAAACCACAAAAGGAAAGAATGTTACAAATTGATTATTAAATCAATGTAATTGGCATTCTGTATATGACATGGTATACGTGTTATATACCATCTTCTTGATTTACGACTGTTAATTGAGAGCAATATATTGGACCTTTCATCGTGTTGACGATCTCTTTGATTGTCGGCGGTAATGGTTTATTGGCCTTTTGAATCAGAAGTAATTCGGTTATTCGAATTTAAAATTAAATTCATTGTGATATCCTAACTCGAAAATTGCTACACTAATCACTAACCATTGTTTCTAATCAAGCTAATAAGTAAATAGGTCATGTATAATGATTACTTATAATTTATTCCTTGATTTTAAAAGTATAGAAAAATTGCACTTATTAATTCGTTTATATTTAACGAATTAAAAATTCGTCCTTTTATTTTTTCAACTGAAGAATCACTATTTATATTCATCATTGCCTGTTCTTCATTTCTTACGATACACACTTAATCTTAAGTGTATCGATATAATATAAAACCTGAAAAAATAACTGTAATTAGGAAAGAAGAAAATAGATAGGTTTAATTTTTTCTCACTGTTATGCTCGAACTATGGCTCAAGCGTTAAACTATAATTTCCGTTTCTAGTGCATTATCACCCTGGCACTTCTGATCATAGAGGATGTCTACGTGCTAATCAATTATGTCAGCTTCGTTGAAGCACTATTCACCACGCTCTCGGTGTCTGGCCTCCTCTGGCTTCGCTACAAAAGTCCCGATCGTGAACGACCAATAAAGGTATGTGAAAAATTGTATAAAATTGTAATATCATAGTAAGGTATATTGTCAACGTTCAATTCTAAGAGTATAAAAAGTTAACTATAATATGTAATCTTTTTATTCAAATTTCCCAGAAATATGATTCTCGGGGCTATTCTTTGAGTAATATAAACTTTCATGTACTTAGCACGTCTCAATTCTCGGAAAATATAGACGTAGATAGATTATAAATACACGGTGCTTCTTCGATTTCTCAAATTTCTTTTAAATTTTCTATTTTAATATCCTAGAGATACAATCTTCTAATTATCTTGACTGTTTCAATAATTTAGCTATCTAATCACAGTTCATTTTATACTGGTATCAATACTTTTTTTTCATTTCGCTGTTTAAAAAGTTTGTCTAAATTATTCAGGAACAGGGTTTAATTATGCTAAAAATGAACAAATGTATGCATTTGGAATGGATATTTATTTTGATTCCGTGTAACGTGTAATTTTATTCCCATTCAAATAAATCCACCTTCAAATAATTTCTGTTAGTTCGTAGACACTTTATATGGATACGATAAGAAAAATGAATACCGCATTTATGACGTTTCAACAACACACTGTTATCGAATCTTATCTTTCACATTTTTGATAAGCCGTTCAATAGTGTCGTTATTTTGTGGCAACAAAGTTTATGAAAAAATATGCAAACGAGTTAACTTTCTTGTCCTTAAATAACAAAATGAATAACAAACGTCGATATGTTTCATACTTATTGAGTAGAAAATAAAATTATTGCTAATAACACTTTTTAAAGTTTGTTAGCATTTTTCTAATTCTAGGAAAAATATTTCTAATTACTTCCTTTTTAGCAATTTTATGGTACATTAAATTATATTTTCCTGCATAGTAGCAGAAAAGTAACTATCTAAAATCGTTAAAAAATCAAATAAATAAGGTTGCATGCAAGTCAGAATTTATTTATTATTTCCTACAATTAAACGGTTGTACACCAACTGGTAAAAATTGTTATCCTAATAAAAGAGGCAAGAAAAAAGTGTATTATTTTCTATATCGTTTGTTGCAGGTCTCAATCTTATTACCAATTATATTTTTCGTAATCTGTGCTTTCTTGGTAACCTTTCCCTGCTACGTGTCGCCATGGGAAGTTGGTGTAGGAGTGATAATCATCTTATCTGGTATTCCCATGTATGGGATCTTTATTCACTGGAAAAAGAAGCCTAAGTGGCTTGTAAGGACCTCTCGTAAGTATTTGTTTATTTATTATAGCTTGTATCCCTATGTCTACTTTCAATTATTGAAATTGCTTTTAGTTTATTAAATAAATAGAATTACTCATACTTATGTAATAGAAACAGACCATTTTCTTTCTAATTCAAATACTATATAACTATTGTAATTCACTGTAGAAAAAAGGAAATAATTCTTACACATTTAAATCAAACAAATTATAAAATAAGAAGAATCTTCTACAACATTATACATATATAAGTAGATGAATAGTAAACTTAATATTATATTTAACTGACTTTTATAGCAAACAAGAATAGGAGACAACTGTATCACGAATATAGACTTCTCAATGCTCTTATGTAAATAATGTACTATTTTTTTACAGATAATTTTAACATGATTTGTGCGAAACTGTTCATGTGCGTGCAAGAGGAAAAAAGCGATTGATCACCAAGTGCTCTTATACTATATTGTATTATAGTTTTATATAGAAAATTTTCATAGCATGAATGTGTGCCGCAACGACTCACCGATTTGTTTGTAAATTCTAATAATACCAGCAACTAGTATGTAGAGAAGTAATAGTCTTGTTGTAAATGCAACTGGACAACATTCCAATGAAATTTACGTTACTCTACATAGAATTTATAAATCAACGGATCATACAACCATACTTGAACTATATTTTTATACATGTATATGTATACGTGATTCATTCGTGATTCTCCTTTACTACGTCAATTGATAGATTCTTCAATTACATGCAATAAGGTGTTTTCTACTAATCTATATTCGTAACAATTGCATAGCGTAATTGCAAGATATTATTTACATTTAAATGTAGAGGAATTCACTTTTAACTTTATTCGTCAAATTTTTGGGTCGTCACAAACTGTTTCAAAATTGTAGTTATGAACTCGCGGAGAAACTAAGAAACAATGAGTCTTGATAAAACATATAAAAAGTCCAACTGCTTACAGAGATTCAAGTATATAATTTGTAAATATACGAATCACGAAGTAAACAGTACTTGAATAGCCTTTTCGGTTTTAAACGTACTTACAATTTTGAAACACTTTGTACATTTAGTCATGAAACTGTTACGAGCATCTTGTAGATAGTGCGTACATGTAAAATCATAAGACTGCAAGAAGTATTCGTACCATGAGAATACACAAAAAATTTATCAACGCACAAAAAGTTATTTCAATCATGATCTTATTCTGATTTAGATATCACTTATGCACAATACCTTCAACCAGTGTTACTTGTTGACAAATAATTCTGAACATTACATATATTATAGTGATTAAATTAATATGTGAGAAGCATACACGCATAATAATTGTAATATAAATAATATATAGATATATATAGATATAGATATACACATATACACACATATACATATATCCGTTTTATCTGGAAATATGTAAATATTTCGAAAACTATGGGTGATACGGAAAAATCTTTCAAACAAATATTGTACCATGTCAAGAGGTACATATGATACCAATATTTATTTTATCTTTTCAGTGACCTCGAAAAGCCCTGAAAAGGTCACGTTTATATTTTTAAATGGGACCAATATTTTTTATTGCATATTCCTGTAGCCGACATCACATAAACTTATTTACCTAATATTAATTTAGCGGGTAACTGTGCGATCGAGAGTTCATTCGGAACGCGACGTGCATATCACAATAGCACTATGTTGCGTACATTGAAACTTAATATCTCGATAGTGGTTTATACGAAAGATACAAGTTAGTAGTGTTTTGAAAACGTTTTGATATCAACTATAAGCCGATTCGACATCGATATGCATACACAATGTTTGAAACATTTTACCGTATGACACACAGTTTTCGTGATATTTACATATTTCCAAATTAAACGGATACACTGTATGCAGCGTGTCCCCAAAATCGTGGTACAACCGGCCGTGTGGTGATTCTACATGTAAAAATAAGTCGAAAAAAAAAAAAAAAAAAAAAAAAAAAAAGAAGAATAGTTTTCGTTTAAGGCACTCGTGTATTAACTGCAAGTTTCGAGATCTGAAACTTCTGTTTCTGCTCGTATTTGTAGTATTAAACATGGACGATGTCACGATTTCCTTCTTATTAATGCTGTTATCTCATTTCCGCGATGTCAAAGTAAATCGTGACATTGTGCATGTTTAATAATACAAACATGAACAGAAACAAAAATTTCATACCTCGAAACTTGCAGTTATCATACGGGTAACTAACGGATTTTCAAATTCATTCTTTTCGAAACGGAAGCCTTAAACGAAAAAATGTTATTCTTGTTTTTTCGACTTATTTTTGCATGTAGAAACACCATCCGGCCGGTTGCACCACAATTTTGGGAACACCCTGTGTATATATATTGTGGAGCAGATAATGTTACAAGTTGTTTTTTCCGATGCCATTGCAGATATCAACTTGAAATTTTCAGGTGTTAAACGGTGCAGAAGGGCTAACATTTTAGAGTGTAGGATATTGTGGGGGAGAGTTTCTTAAAGGTGGAAAGGGTGCCACCTCCATTTTTTTTTTTTTTTTTTTTTTTTTTTAAATGAGATGATATATTAATTTTTCTATATTCGAAAATATGTTATCAAACCTAATAACTTTTGTCTAAAATATTTTGTTTATTCTGCATAGTTAAGGAGTATAGCGGAAAATACATTACGCAAGAGGAGCTTCGTGTAGGTGTCGAAAGTTATCAAAAGATATGTATTTTGCTTTGAAAATTATTTTATTAGATGTTCAAAAAGTTGCCCTTTCGCTTCTAAATATGCATTTATTCTTGTGATAATATCTTCGCGAATATTTGACAACATTGCTGTAGTTATAGATTTACATGCGGTGTAAATTCTTTTTTTCATGTTCTCTTTCGTAGTAGATACCGTTGCCACCACATTTTCCTCTATGTAGCCCCATAAAAAAAATCAAAGTTTATTCATTCGTATTGAAAGTTAAGAAGTCCAACAACACAATTTAAGCTACTTAATAAAATAATTTTTAAAGCAGAATACATTTCTTCTGATATCTTTTGACACCTACACGAAGCTCCCCTTGCATGAGGTATTTTCCGCCACAAAACTTTAACTATGCAAAATAAAAAAAGATGCCTTAGATAAAAGTTGTTAGGTCTAATAACATATTTCTGAATATAGAAAAATTAATATGCCATCCCATTTTTTAAAAAAATGGAGGTGGCACCCTTTCCACTCTTAACACTTTGACGTCCGTTGTCACGAATACGTGACTTCGCCGGGCGAGCGGTTTTCGGCAGGCATCACGCTGACATGACTTTTTTTTTTTTTTTTTTTTTCTTTGCTGTAAAACGTAACGTGAATGATTTGTATTCAATGTATTTTTCTCAAAAAATATATCGTAATTACACTATAAAAGACTAAGCGAAAAGTGTCGGCGGTACAATTTAGGCGAGAGTCGCCGGCGGCAGCGACGAGTTTTTGAGCGAAATGTGCGGACGTCAAAGTCTTAAGAAACTCACCCCTACAATATCCTACCCTCTAAAATCTTAGCCTTTCTACACCGTTTAACACTTGAAAATTTCAAGTTGATATCTACAAAGGCTTCAGAGGAAACAGCTTGCAACACTATCTGCTCCACCGGGCGCGTGCGGTGTATATATATGTATATGCTATTTAATTGTACATACAAGATGAGGAATTATAAATTATTTATCATGACTTATATATTGATAAACCATTTTGTTCAATAGATATACCAGTGGTAATGATTTTTATATACAATATCCCTTTTGTCTACTACACTTTGTTGTGTTTATTTATAAATTATAGACAAACAAATAATCTAATCATGTTGTAAGCGTATACTTCGCAGATGTCCGACTATCGCAGAAAAAGGTTTTACCAATTTTCTAGTATAATATAATAGAAATTATTCATTTTTCATTTTCACACTGACGCCAAACGTTTCTGTTGTTTTAGCTACTGTACGACTTTTCTGGTCAAATCTTGCATTTAAAATGCCGTATTAGAAAATGCCGAATATTT